TGCCCGCGGGCTCAGTCACATACATCCCTGCACAGTGTTCATCCCTGATCCCTATCCTGTTACCTCAGCAGCGGGGGAGCGGGCCCTTTGCAGTGTATTTGCAACCTTCCTCCCCCAGGCCAAACCCTCTGGCCAGGCCACAGCCAACCAGCCTCGCTGTGCGCTCTATGACCTTTGAGGATAAGACTGGGCAGAGCCCATTAAGCCAGTATGCGGCTAAGAGCCAGCCGGCCTCCAGGGTGTCGGACGTCAGCCCCTTGGCAATCAAACGACTGCGTTCAGATTCAGTCACAGAGAGCAGTCCCTCCAAAGCTAAGAGGACTGATCCCAACTTTAAGGTAAAAACAAATAACTTTTACTATTTGAGCTTTTACATCTAGATGGTACATTTATGTAACACTCAACTGATTAAAGGAAAGTTGTTCTTACTTAAAACATGTGAAGAGTTTGGGTGTTATTCTTGCAGTTGTTTACTGTCTCAGTGCACACTTTAATGCTTTAAAACTGGTTGTTGGTTAAAACCATTTGTGTAAATTCTGCTAAAAACCTTTTGCAAATTCCTCTGCAACAAAAACATGAAGGCGCATGTGGTTTTTAAAATTGCTTTAATGTGTTTTATATAGTTACTTTTATATATATATTTTTCTGAAATACAGTATTTCCCACCTTCTCTTTCCCCCTCCTTCCCACTTGCCTCCTATAGGACACCTCTCCGAAGCTGTGTGAGATCTTACAGGCCCGTTTGAAGGCCCGTCGCAGCAGTCACCTCTCAAGCCGGCCCTCGCCTCGCGCACTCCACCTGGACCCGGAGTTTGTCAACACCCCCGGCGGTGCTGTTGCCCATCAGACTCTAGGGCAGAGCTTGGAGACCTTCCTGGACAGAGAGGACAAGACACCGAACTCTGACAGCGAGGCGGGATTAACACCAGTCAGAGCCGTACCCCTCACGCCAGGACAGCTCCACACAGAGGTAAATGCACAAGCACAAAGCTCGCTGGGCATCAATCAACACCAGAAAGGCTTTTGTTGTGTTAGTCAATTTTTATAGCAGTATGTGTGAAATGTATTTATCTGACCTTCCAGACGTTAGTGCCAGCCGGATACCTGATTCCAATCTCCCAGCAGTCCCTCATCAGCTACAGGGAAATTCAATGTTTAGGGAGAGAAAGCAACAAGGCCTCAACTCCCACTTACAACATCTACCAAACACCGACTGCAGGTAAATATGTCACTAAATAAAAATATGTCCTAAAATGTTGATTTGATTTGGTTCCAGCAAGATTTTATCTTTTGGACAAGCCATTTAATTTTCATTTTTGTTGTCATTTATAATGAAATACCAGATCCTCTGGAACCAGAGATTGAAGGCTTTTTTTTGCTTGGTTAATAATTAAACAATTAACTGATCATCAAAATTGTTGATATATTTTTAGTTTAATCTGTAATCTTTTAAGCATGGACAGTATTAGTTTTCTTTACCTTTTTAAAGCTTTTGCTTTTCGTTTGTTAAATTAGTGACAGTTGAATAACTCAATGATCTTACTGCAGATTGGCCTAAGGGTTTACACATTTGAATAACTACATCAAGATAAGGGATTGCACTATTTTATTTTGTCATCAACAGGCTCCAGGCCTGCCCTGGCCCAGGAGATTACACCCACCAACCTTTGTCTTCACAAACCCACTGCTGCCGCCTCGCCACAAACCACCCAGCAGGCCCACCACCTCCACAGCCCCAGTCCTGCCATCCTGAACTTCACCTTGCAGAACCTGGGTCTGATCTCAGGCTCTAGCCCAGGAAACACCTTCGCTGCCCCACAGACTCCAGACTGTGCCAACACCCTGCCCAGCCCTCTGCCGGGCCCACTGGCCCTGCAGCAGAGAGGGATGGTTTTCATCAAACCCGTGTCCCCTGTGCCCGTCCAGCAGTCTGTATCCGCTCAACCAATGGCCCTGATCAGTGTCCAACAGGTAGAAAAATCTCAATGTCAAAGTTTACACACTATACTGACAAAATGACAAAAGCCGTTTCTCCAAGACTGACCCAACTTTATGGAAGTGCTATGCTAAATCGCTGGAGTATGCCTTTACATTAAACATCAACTTGATCATATTAACAATTGGCCAAGTCGATACTTGGGGGAAAAAAAAAAAGGTGAGGGAGAGAGGAAGTCTTGAAACTTCATTTCACAGAGCAGACATGATAACGTAACTTAACTGTAGGGTGATGTTAATGGTTGTTTATGCACTTCTGCCAATTTCCCCATATAGCCTGTGAACCAACCGAAACCCCTTCAGCTGGTATTTTAAAGAGCCAGTTAACACAAACCTTAACAAAAACAGCCTGGGGTTGCGAGCGTGTCCAGGCACACAGATAGTTGGTTTTAAATGCTGAGGTTTTGACTTGATCTGTATCGAGAAACATTAGACCTCGCGGAGGACTGAATCTTTTGGAGAAAGTAGTTCCAATGAAAAGTGTTGAGTAAGATCTGGTGATAGTTCAGATTAAAGCAGTGAAATTGTTTCTGGAAAGATGATGAGGGAAGGGGGGGTTGTCCTTATATTTACTTTATTAACGGAACATTGTCTGTTGTCCAGCCTCTGATGACGACCCCCAAAGGAACAGGGCTCCCCCAGCAGAGCTTCTTCCACACGCCGGTCCCCCTCTCCCCTCTGGCTGCCATGGTAACCACCAGTGGACACCCAGCCACCAAAACTGTTTACGTCCCTCAGAGGAAGCTGGATGTCACCACTGAGGACTCCTGAAATCCTTGAAGGACACCCTCAGATGTCTGTATGTGTGTGTGGGGGGGGGGGGGGGTGTGTTTATTTTTCTCTGAACATTTCACGGCCTTCATTCACAGCCAGCTCTAAAAATAGCTGCCTTTCAGACTTCGACTGTGGACACATGCAAATCAGATTTCAAAGTCAGAGTTCACCAGATACTCATGAACACTATTGTGATGCTGGTAGAAAATGTTTTCCCAGGAATAAATTTGCATGACCTAATGGGGGAGAATTAATGATCTTTTTTGTTTGTTTGTTTTACTTAAATCCGCTAATGTGGGTGATGCAAACACCAATAGTTGTATTCAAACAGTAAAGTAAGTAAGTAAATGGTCCCATCAGTACTATAAAGAACAAAACAAGTCACATGGATGTTTTTTTTAATGAAAGACCAGTTTAATTGGAAAAATTGTTCATTGATCATCATCTCTCTTATGTTAATGAGACTGCTTTTGCACATATGTACATGTTAAATGTTACCTCTGTTAAAATGGAATTGTTAAGGAAATGTGAATATTTGTGATTCATTCTAAGACTAATCAGGCATTTTGATACGTTTAATTTATAATGAAATAACCTTCATTTCCGATGTCCTGTTTAAGTGTAATATGCTAATGGAATTTGAATACATTTTCTGTAAGAACATCAGGTGATGTCTGTGTTTTGTTTTGTATATCTCCACTAGAGCTGCAACGATTAATCGATTAGTTGTCAACTATTAAATCAGCAACTATTTTGATAATTGATTAATTGCTTTGAGTCCTATTTTAAAGAGAAAACATTTTAAAAATTTGAATAATTTCTGGTTTCTTTCCTCCTCCTGAGAGTAAACTGAATATATTTGGGTTGTGGACAAAAGAAGACATGAGGACAACTAATTGATTATAAAAATTATTGTTAGTTGCAGCCCTAATCTTCACAGCTATTGGATTGGAATTGGAACGTGGTGCTGCTACCAACAGTGATTTTTTTTTTTTTTACTGTAGATGAATCTGTTGAATTATTTTTACTATCACTTAGTTTATTAAATAAGAAAATAGTGTCTGTACACTTGAGCTCTAACAAATGTGTTCCATAGTGCTGCTAAAAGTCAAAAACTTCACATGATCCCTTTAAGTACAGGGGAGAAAAAATGACAGCTGAGGCAGACGGAGCACTGAGTGGACTAACCCTGACAATGTAAAACTGAGCCTAACAAACTGAGAGATGCCTCAGTCACGTCATGTAGGCAGAATGGGAAGAACAAGAACAGGTCTGGAGTCGGGAAGAACTCACATAATTACAGGATGGTTACCCTGTCATTAAATATAATATGAAGTTAGCCTTAATTACATACTGTATGTGCATCATGTCACAAGCTGTTGGTTGTATTGCTCACGTTTGATTGGATTTTTAGCATTAATGTAACATTTTATTAACAATGACAGTTGTTTTGCAGCCACTTCAGCACATGTTGACACTTTCTGCAATTCTTTCCGCCGGCTCATTCTTTCTTGTCAAATGTATGTTAAGCGTTTGTTTGGTACTTTTGACTCAGCAGCTGATTGGAGACCAATGCAATAGAGCTCTCTTGAAGTCTTGAACTTGAACACTTGAGTTTAAGTGGGAGATATCTGTCAGAAAGTTCCCATGTCTCCCACTCATAACTGCAATTACCAAGCAGTCTTTCCTAGTCAGAGCGAATTGTTTCACCGCATTCATTCTATTTGAATCGCTGAACAAATCGGGAATCTGGATGGTGATTCAGATGTCTGGAACCAGGCTGTTTATCTCACTTGCCTGCAGTAATTTAATTTCTGTATCATGATTTGAATGTGGCATGGAATGTCTTAAAATTGCCACCATACAGATGCCAAACTATTTTTATTTAGATAACAACCTCACCTTTGGGACTACCCGCAGGGCCGCTAGTGGTTAGGATCTAAGGAGAGCAGTTTTCTTCACATTTTTCATCCATCCAACCAATTATTTGCACAAAAATGTGTTCATATTCAGATGTGCAGTTAAATGCTTTGAGTTCTCATCATGTATGTGCATAATCCTGTGACATACCTCCCTGCATGGTAGCTGTCAGTCACAGTTTTGTGTCTGTCTGTGAGTCCAGAACAAATGTTTGGGTGGCTGATGTTCAGGCCTCTTTCAGCCTGTGATGAAGGGTCCGAGGGCTCTGCTCTGTCACAAGTTATTTTAGGATGATAGTTTCACTGAAGCGTCACCGGTGGACTGTGGTGATGGCAAGATGGACGGTATTTAAACCGCCCAGGAGCGTTCACTGCCACGGTAGGACCGAAGCACACAGGCTCAGGCTCGGATTCAAGGTAAGGACTCATTTCCTTTGTTTTAAAGCTTTCTGTTTGTAGATGAGTGAGTTATTGTAACAAATGGGTAATTTGCTTGTTTAGGCTATGATTTATTTTAGTTTTTACAGGAGGAATTATATTTATTTTATGAGACTTTCTTTTTGACATAAATATCAGGACCATTAGTGTTAGATGGAGAGGGCGCTTAGCTTTTGTCCATCTGATGTCTCAGTACAGCCTCTGGAATATCACATACCAGTCCTGTGAGGTGTTGGGCAGCCTCTGATATGAGTGGAAACTGGAATGTCAGCATGAAGGCCAGGCAGGGCGGCATTGCCACATCTCCAGGCTTTTGGTGAAGCTGGCATTTGGGGGACGAGTCAAATCTAATGGCTCAAAGTGAGATTAAAACTATCAAAACTGAAAATATGAGTGACAGGTTTTTAAACCACCAGATTTCACATAAAAAAATAGGTAAAATACAGCAGGTCAAGAATCACACAGAGTGCAGGTTAGGTTTAGGGTTACTTCATTGACTCCTTTATTTCATAATTCAATTATACAGTTTTTTAAAACAGCTTAAAATAAGTACATGTGCAAGATGGGGGCTTAAACATGAGTAAATGAATGATGAAAGGTGTCAATCAAATAGAAGTCTGAATTGTCACACTAATTTGTTTTGGCTTGAAAATGTTAGGGATGCCTGGATTGGATTGGATGTCTGATCTGTTGACTTCAAGCCTGCTGGTGCAGATTTCTTAGTTCCAATGCTGAAAGAAATAGTTGATTACTTGAAGAAATTAAAAAAATAATCAATTAATTAATCACATATCAAAATTAAAAATAGCTTGTGAAAATAAATGAAAACAACACTTTTTAGATATTAAAATGCAGGGAGGTCCTAGCTCATCTTCATTTCATATCATTAAAAATGAGTATTTGAACTATTTTAAGATCTTCATTACAATACTTCCATAGTTAGTCGATTGACAGCAAATTTATTGTGTACAAAAAAAATACAACTGTAATTGTAATTTTAACCTTTGACAGAGTCAGTAATCAATAGATTGATTAATAATTAAATAAGTAATTATTTGAACTTGTGTTGGGATTGTTTCTTCAAGATGCCAAACTGGGGAGGGGGTGCCAAATGCGCAGCCTGTGAGAAGACGGTGTACCATGCAGAGGAGATCCAGTGCAACGGGAGGAGCTTCCATAAGACCTGTTTCATCTGCAGTGAGCACCCTGGTTCTTTCTTCTTGTCACTGGTCCAACAGAGAGAATTCTGCATCTGTCTGTTTTCTCCTCATATTTAATTTAGAGAGTGCAGTTTTTGTGGTTTCATTTTATTCATTCAGTTCTTTATACTTTCTTTTCCCTTTCTTCCTTTCTTGCTCTCTTTACACTTAATCTTTTTCTTTCTTTGTTCTTGCTTGCTTTTCCCTTTGTTTTTCTCCTTGATTCATTTCCTTCTTTCTTTCTTGCATCCTTCTTTTCTTTGTTGCTTTCCTACCTCCTTTCTTTCCTGCCATCAGTTTATTCTTTTCATTTGTCTTGCTTCTTTTTCCCAATTCTTTATGCATCATTTAATATTTTCTTTCCTATGTTTCTCTATATTACTACTCTTATCCTCCTCCTCTGCTCTGCACTGACCACTTTCTCCCAGTAACCACTCACATCTTCTCCATAAAATGCCTTCTTCTCATGTAATATGTTCTAGTAGTTGAATGGCCCCTCTCTGGGTTTGACGGCCAAGTGGAGTTTCCCCTCCTCTTTATCTGTTTGGTCGGACGTCAAGACTTTAATTTCAGTTTTGGTCTTGTTGTGATACAGCCAAAGTTATTAGACCATAATCAGATCTCCCAGCTGCAGCTGTCAAATCCAGGAACTCCGACCTACATGAGAACTGAGAGAGTGGACACCTCATATAGGTTTACAGCTCTTTGCAGAAACACAAACACTCTCCAGTTGGTTGGACGTGAGTCTGTGTGACTGTTGTATTGTTCCAGTGGGAACTCTGAAAGGCCTCTGCGATAAGCTCATACATCTGCTAAGTGTTCTTCTTTTCTCGAACATTCACCTCACACTCTCCTCTCATCCTATAAATAGAAAAACTAGACATCTGACTATGTGCAATGCCACTGTTGACTGATAAAACTAGCTAGGTGGGAGCTTTATTTAAACTCCATTACTCCACCATGGCTCTCTACAGTCTGGACAAACCATTTCACCCAGCCTCATAGTCAGACAATAACTGGTTAAAATGTGTAAAAATATTCCTGTTTTTTTACACAGTGACCTGCAGAAAAGGACTGGACAGCACCACGGTTGCAGCGCATGAGTCTGAGGTTTACTGCAAGTCTTGTTATGGCAAGAAATATGGGCCAAAAGGCTACGGATACGGGCAAGGAGCTGGAGCTCTGAGCTCTGATCCCCCTGGACAGAATGTAGACCTGCAGCCTCATGAGTACGTCTTCACACTGCAGTTAGAGACACAGGCCAAGTCTGGGCTTTCAGTAAAGGGTCATTTCGGTGGTATCAAGCCATGTAGGCAGATTTTATGTGCAAATGTGATTTGGTTGAACTGAACCTTTAAATTGATTGAAAGCCCATTGATTTATTGATTGCTCTCGGGATGTAGAGAGAGAGAATTAAGAGAATTTCAACAAATATGAAATACATTACCTTAATTACTGGACGTTAACATGACCTTTCTCCAGTATGATGAAGGTTAATTTTTGAACACAGCTGTAGAAACAAGTCTATAACTTGAAAAAATGTTTTGTATTCTACATTGAAAAGAAAAAAGCAACACACAGCAAGATTTAGCTTAGCGTCACCAGATATGTTACAGAGATATTTACAGTCTGACATGAGTAAAATACTGGGGGAGTTAGCAGTTTACAAACAGATCTATCTGAAGCCCATCTGTCCTCAAAAACCTACAAAACTGAAACTACAAGAAAGTCAAACACCAGTGACCACTGACGTCATCCCACAATGTTTTTTTTTTCTAGCTCTAAACCACGACCAGCTTCTTCAAACTCCAATGCCAATAAATTTTCCCAGAAGTTTGGAAGTTCAGACCGCTGCCCTCGCTGCTCCAAAGCCGTCTACGCAGCAGAGAAGGTCATGGGAGCAGGAAAGGTAAGAACCGTCCTTCCTGGGACGCTGTGGTGGTCTTTTGTCTGGGATTTATAACTGGCTTTTATGTTACTGTAAATTTTGTTGTGATCAAGTCATTTTAAGAAATGCCCCAGCAGAGTGACAGCAAATTGAATTCAGACCTCTGAGCTCTAAATAATTCTCAAACAGGCTGTTTTCCTTAAAGTGTTTCACTACCATGGGGTTGTATGAGCCCCAACAATTTGGCCATGTAGCCTACAATCTAATAGGTTACTGTATTCATTCATAGACAAGAAAATACCAATAAATCTAGCTTCATTTGTCTTTATAATTGTTGTCAGTAACGCTGTGTGTGTGTGTGTGTGTGTGTGTGTGTGTGTGTGTGTGTGTGTGTGTGTGTGTGTATAGCCCTGGCATAAAACCTGTTTCCGCTGCGCCCTTTGTGGTAAAAGCCTGGAGTCGACCACAGTGACAGACAAGGATGGAGAGCTGTACTGTAAAGGTACACACATTTACACAAACACACACCTGTCACTGCACTGAAGACACTTTGAAAGTACATTTTGGCCATAGACTCCTCATCTCCCAGTAACCTCCCTCCCAAACACACACTTACACTGTACGTGTGTGAGTGTCTGCTTCTAACCTTATGTGCATTTCACTTCAGTGTGCAATATACCCATGTGTTTTTATAGTATACTATATACTGACTTATTATTTTTTATTCTGTCAATTCATATAGTATTTTTCAATTCCTTTATGGGCTGAATGCAACATAATTTCATTCAACTGTGCACTTATCCTGTGTATAGAGTGACAATAAAGTTATCTTCAATCAAATAGAAATACACACATACACATTTTAGATTTGAAATTAAATCAGAAAATGCTGATTAACTCAGCGTTGTTTTCTAATTCTCTCTTCAGTTTGCTACGCCAAAAACTTCGGTCCAAAAGGATTTGGACTGGGAAACGCTGCCATGTTGGAGGAACAACAGTGAACATTTCTGGTTTTTAGAAATGTGTGTGCGGCACACGGCAGCTGTTTGAGTGGAGACTCAGCCTTTACCTCTACATTGGATGATGTCTGCAATACATGATAGATGCCATATCGGGCTGGGCTGGTAAAATAACAGTCGAGCAACATTTGTAAGCTCGCTATTATCTTGAAAATTGGGTAAAAAGATAAAAATAGTCAGAGTACAAAATAAAACTATACCCTAAAATATACCCTGAATGAGGTTTATATATATGAAAAATTAGATTATTTTTAGAAATAAACACAAATTGAAATACAATCTGGGGTCCATGTCTTTAAATAAATCTTTTGTACCTCACATACAGAAAAGAGCTGCACTGCTCATTATTAGAAAATATCACTGATTTTAGACAATCCTTTTGTTTGTATCACTAATCTGTTTTAATAAAAACGCAAAACGACTTGCACAACCCTGCTCATAAGTCAATGAATTTATCTCCTCCTGCTGTGAGAAGACAACTAGCAGTGCCTCATCGTGTTAAAGTTAATTATTAATAGAATTAAATTTGCATTCATAAATAATTCCGTGCAATAATGAATTAGAATAATCAAGGCAACAAGTGATTAACAAATGCAATGAGTTCATTGTCCCCAAACAATTATGTGTGAGCAGCTGTGCAGAGCACGTTTGGATTAGTTGTTTTTGTCTAAAATTAGAGCTGCTATCAGACTCGCACCATTAAATCAGAAGAGATGACAACACAGAGGAACACACAGAGTAAAAGTTACTCTAAAAGAGATGTCTGTTCATGACACAGTTACCTACGAGTCATCTGTAAAAAACCTGCACACTTGATGATCAAAGTGGGTGTCTTAAATCATCACTTCTAAAAGGTTTTAGGAACCAACCTATATATAAAAAGCTTTTCTCAGCATGAGCAATCCAACCATGAAAATGACAAACAACCTTCTTTTTATTGACTTAAGTCTCCAGCGCAGCGACCTGATGGCACATAAGTTTCTGAATTAACACCCAATACCTCAATCAAAAGCTGTGACATAATAATAACAGTAAAATCTCTAAAAGAACAAAAAGCTGTCGGTCTTTCCTCTGGCCAGGACACATGAGGCCAAAGACAAGACATTCTGCCTGTAGCGGTGGAAAGATGTGCACAAGGTTTTTAACACACCAGAGGATGAAATAAAAGCGGGGAAGGAGCATGCTCCTCTTATTAATACAACTCTGCAGTAAATCTGGTGAAGCTCAGGTGTTGTTGAGACTGTCACAGGTGTTCATTCAGCCTGCTAGTTAACTGCTGAGTATGTACTTTGTGGTGTTGTTGAACACTTATCATTCTTATCTTTCAGCCAGTTGCTGGTAGTCTACTTCTGAACACTGTTCCTCTTTGCTAATGTACTGTGAGGCATGTGTTGTCATAGTTTAGAAATTTTCTACCAAATCACATCTACACTACCTGTCCTCTTTGTCCTTCTAAACGTCCTTTCAGACATGGAAGTGGCAAGTTGCCGCCTCTGTTCCTTTCACAGAAAGACTGGCTGTCGCTCTGGCAGAAGCAGCACAGGGGAAAGAAAGACGCACACAATCACAAATTCTCCCATTTTCCATACTGCCACTTTAGTTGTCAGCTTCTTGCACCTGGATGAAGAGCAGGTCTCCCACTGTGTGACTCCAAAACCTCTGTAAGTGTGGCTTACAGATCTGAAAGGTTCTCACATTGTCTTAAAAGCTGCGTTCCAGCAGACACAGAATAAAATTATCATTCATTTATATATGAGATGTATTAAAATACAACATAAATTATTCAATGTCTGTGAAAAGCCTTGTAGCCTTGGAAAATTAGGCTGTACTTGTACTCATACGTGAGCTGTCACACAAGAATCAGCAGTTTGCACTCGCTCCTTTTATAGACAGCCTAATGCAATCTGAAAGTAACCAATCACCTCACCTGTCAGTCAGCCTCCTATTTATATCCATATGCACACACACACCTGACCTGCCATATACAAGCTCGTTCTCCTTAGGCACTTGTATTCAATCTCCTCTCTCCACCAACTCCTCAGGGAAATATTTGTTCCGTGTTCACAGCTGCCTGCTGCTGAAAACTATTGAGGAGAGCTGTGAACTGAACCACACAGTAAATGTGTTGTAAAAACTGAAAATGAGCTAAAAGAGGCTCAAAAGCTGCATACAGCTGCTGAGTTGGTGATACTCCTCTGTAGGGTCATCACAGCATCAGACTCTTTTCTCCTTATGAGGCTTCAAAAAATAACAAATAAGTTAAACAATCTGCACAACAACTCGGACATTTATGAGCCACGGTGATATTTACTGAAGTACAGTGTTTCTGTTATATTGTCCAGCCCCAGAATGTGGAGGCCTGGGATTCCACACAGAGCCAGTTAAAAAGACAGGCACAAGATTGCTTTATTGAAGTAATATAGTGGTCATTCATTATTAAACACATGCAACTCTTACAAAAGTCATAAAACCAACTGTTTACACGTACAAAGATCCTTTTCCCCCAGAACAGATGATAGAAAATAGACTTGGTGTGCTCATAAAAAACATCTCAAAACTTCAATTACAGTTTAGGCCTTTAAAGGTTTGTTAACCTTTAAAGGTTTGTTAACCGTATCCAAATTAAACACATTTGTGATTTTCTTTTCACTTACATTGGTCAAGTATAAGGCAACAGCAGTCTGTACGAAGAGCAATTGAATCAAACAATATCTACAATGCTTTGTGTTTTCCCAACTTCTGATAACGTGGTCTCTCCTCACAAGGAGCCCAGCTGTTAAAAAAATAAATAAATACATTTTGTGCTTTTGGTCCAGAACCACTGTAAACATCTGACCGTTGACCCTGAGCGAGGGGTAGTTGGGAGGTCAGACCATGTCGGTGTGTCCGAACATGTGCTGGTCGCGGCCAGGGGGAAACTGCTGCGTCCAGTCGATGATGGCCGGTTTGAAGAAGCCACAACAACGCAGATGGAAGAAGGACACCAGGTTCCGCACCACGCCCAAACTGCAGAGAGAGATGATAAGAGATGATTCATTCACAAATGCACTTGCACTTTTTGACATAATATGCCTTTTTGGTGTCGGACATTGTTGGCCAGGTGGACATGGTTCAAACCATCAAACCAAAAAAAAACAATAAACTCAATGTCCCAGGTGGAGCTCAATCAATTCAATTCTCTGCTTTTACAGACAGAACCAACTCTAACCTGATGTCTCAAACTACTCATTTGATTCATTGCACCTGATTTCAAGTCACCACTCAAGCTTCAATAATCACAACAAAAGTATGGGCTTATATCAGATGCAGAATTTTAAAATGTAAATTAAATAAATTTTCAAGCATGCATTTGCACATCTCAATCCCAAACCTCGTTCATCAGCATCCGCTTACACAGGTTCAATATGATTCAAGTCCCGATTTTATTTAAATAGAGACTAATATCATCACTGCCGCAGTTCTAAATCAGGGCTACTGTAAAATGAGATGTTCATTACTGCATATGGCCTTGACTGAAAAGCATAAAGTTCCTCCTGCATTATAATTAAAACAGCCATTTAATCCACCCACATTAAATATTGATTTAAAATAGTTTACCACTTTAAATAAGGGGCCTTGCATTATAGAGCTGCACTGATATGTGTAAAATGAACTCATTTATAACTTATTCCAAAGTAGTGCACTAAATAATGGCATGCCTAATATTAACTCACTTGTATGGATTCTGTCTCAGGGAGACGGATTGTCGCAGTTTCATCTGGTGGAGTGTCAGGTTTGTCCGCTCTGCTGTGGTCAGTCCCAGGAAGGCAATCTGCTCCGACACAAAGGAAAAACATCAATCACCAGAAGAGAAGAGAAGAGAAGACACTCATTGTGTGTGCAACACAGCAGATCAGTAGACCGTATACAGAATGAGATTTCATGCACTGGCTAAACACATTCGGCTTCTCTTGCCACTTCTAAGAAGACTCTCACATAGACTCTCAACATAAGTTGGTATATTTCCGTGGTTTGACACTTTAAGGGATGAAAAGCCAATTGTAATTACACTCTGGCTGAAATAAAAAACAGTCTAATGCTTCGTGCAAAGCAAGTTTTTTGAGACACTGAGGATTCTGCCACATTTCTTCTAACACACCTTTCTTACTTGATTGCCATTTTTATTGGTATCTATATTCAGTATATGTAAACAATTCATTATAGGCAGTTAGAATATAAAAGGTATTACTTTAGCAGAAATCTTAAAAGGCATTTACAAGACTAAAATCTATTTAATTTATGAAGGCACATAATTTTGAGGTTTGTCTTCATTCAGAGTCTGTTTTTTTTTTTTTTTAAAGACTGAACATTGTTCACAGGATATTTGAGAGCTGCAGAAAGTCATTTACAGACTCCAAGCAGCCAGTCACCTGGTAGAGCTGCAGCAGCAGGATCAAGCTGGACCAGCAGGTGTGATAGAAGGCCAGCAGGAAAATGCTGAGCAGCCAGGGAGAGCAGCTGACCAGAGCGGAGACCACGCCCCACAGGCCCTGCTCCTCGTAATGCAGCACACAATGAGTCGACCAGTCTGAAAAAATATACACAGCAGGCATGTGTATCCTGTGAAAATGTAAAACTGTGTCAGACACTGTTATTCTAGCTTATGTCAAGTCACTCACACATGAGACAACCGTAGAACATCCAGGCTCCCATCAGCACGAGGGAGAGCAGGAAGAGGATGAAGTAGTGATGGTTCCTCGCACCTGGGAGAAAAACAGCAACAAAAACGTGTTTGATCGCCTTCAACTTTGTCAAAAGACTCCAAGGTGTGTGCACTTCTGAGGTGTATGATACTGTAACTAATGTTGGCCACTATAATAACTTGTCACAGCCAAAACATACATGTACCAGATCAACTGGACCAGGCAACACGGTGGGTGCAGTGAACACCCCAGGAGGAAAGGACAGAGAGCTGGGTTAGGAGCCATGCTGGCCCAGCTTGGACTTAATGCTGCTCTTGGCTATTGACAGTCTGGACAAAATGGGACTCGGGCTGGCAAAGCAACGGAATTTGGACAAGGAATAAATTATGTAATGTATGTAATTATTAAGGTTTCAAAATTGTGAAACAGGGCAATTTTGAACATTTTCCTCACTTTTTCTATGAACTACTTAGGGTAATTTTGGTATTTTTGAACCTGGGCCATATTTTCACATATTTTGGGGTTGAAATGACTTGCAGGTACAAAGAGGTAATATAATGCTCATTTTCAGGTTCAAAATGTTTTTTTTGGATTATACCAGAACAGGTTGATATTGTTTAATTTTCAAAAATACCATATTTGTTGTCATACTGCACATTGCTGCAGCTTCTCTTTTCACGCTGTGTGTGAAGGCTTCGTTTTAGCTATGGAGTGATACATCTTGTCTCAACATGATCTTTGTTGGGAGTTGCACATCAGCAGTTCCTAGTTAAGGACTACTAGCCAATCAGAGGCAGAGAAGGGCGGGTCAGTGAGAAGCTGGTAAACACGGCTCCGGTTCAGCTGTATGTCCCCTTACCAGCTCAGCAACATGGACTGGAGCAAGAGTTTCAGAGTGGTGAGTTATTAATCTGTAACAAAACTATCTTTCATGCATAAAGTTTTAACTGAGCTCTGTCTCTACATCACAGTAACAACTTTATGTCCATTGACTGCCTGGAGGGTAGCTAGTGTTTGGAAGGGAGAGGAGGTGTGTTCTGCAGCTCAGTGCTGTTCCACTGCTGTTTTTGAGGGCGTGTCGGACTAGCCGCTTGGCAAGCGTTATAAGACGCGCATTTTGCTTTCATCCATATGACATCACAGGGATGAAAGGGAAGCGGCTGGACTACAAACGAGCTGTTTTCAGGCAGTTCAGAGCAGAGTTTTCTGTGGGAGATGGGAACTCCCTTTGGGCTGGACTTTGGGCTTTTTCACTTTGCAAACCTATTACATGCACAAAAAAGGTATATAACTCAATAAAGGAGAGGGGGAAAGCCAAAAAGCATAATATGAACTCTCTAAAAATAAAGATATGACCCTTTAACTTAAATAATCTGATGCATACAGTCCATTTACCTGGTCCAGCCTTACTACTATGTGTATTTTGATGCAGATCCAGATTAAACATTTTAGTTACTAAAATTACAAATTTTGAGGATTCATCTTCGGTGGAAATATGTTTTCTCAAACTAGAAATAAGTTTAACAGTTTCACGCTGTTGTATTTTCTGGTAATTGCAATCACATTTTACTTGCTACAGTTTGTCATACCGATGCAGCTGTTGGTCCACATGGAGTGGTGGTCCTGCTTCGCCACACAGGCATCACAGGTGAAGCAGTGGTTCGTTCTCATTGGTTTCTTTGCCTGTGAACAAAGCAATGTAAAACAGAGTAGGTTGTCACTGTCTGCGTTACTGAAACAGTGTAGTGTAGTAAAAGTTTTGTGTTCAAACCTCACCATGCAAGAAGTGCAGAATATTCTGGGGTCCAGACAGCCAGCTTCAGCCAACACCAACACATTCTGACAAGACAAACAAACAAACCTGCTTATTTGTGCATGAAACATTTACATGTAAGAGGATGTTATTTAAGCGTCTATTTTTTAATGGCCACCCCACCATTTTCTTCTCTTCTTCGGTTGCCTTGACGAAGCCCGGGTCGGTCCTGCAGGTACGGACGTAGTAGTAGAGCAGAGCAGTGGCATTCAGAGTGAACAAGACCTGAACTGTGGCGCGGTGCTCATGTGGGGTCAAAGGTTAAGAAACTCTTCATTCATAAGTTTGACCAAAAGGCTAAAATATCAAACATTACATTAAACTGAGGGAAAAGGAAGCTGCTAAGGTTACTAGCTATTTATCACAGTGAATACTTCATTGCACTGGTTTCATACTTCTCTTTGTTTATTTCCTGTCTCTGATAATGATGACAAACCTTGAAGTCTCTCTCACTCTGTCTACCATTAAAAAAAACATCCGAACCTCTTGCTTTACATTTACTGGCCTTGTCTACCCTTTCATCTGATACAGATGTCCTACATTTCCCAGAATGCCTCTAAAATAATGGAAATTTCAGTGGACAATTTAAATATAGTTAGCAAGCCAAATAGTTAGTTCCTGACCAAGTCCACCTGCCTTGCAGCTGCGTTGCATTCTGGTCTATTTTCATCACAAATAGCTGTCTTGTAACTGGTTAAGGGTGTTGTTTCCTTCGACGAAAGGATATCTGGCAGGAACCAGAGGTACCAGGTGACAAGCATCCAGAAGACTGAAGCCATGAGAGCTGTTGCTGGTAGGAGAGACTGAAAGGCTGGACCTGGGAAGTTCCTGTTCAGACACGAACAACAGACAAGACAACCAGTTTTGTACAACATGCAGATGGGGTACATGAGCACTGGAGTAAAATGTGGGATTGTTTAACTCTTTCTTCGTTTACACAATACTAAGAACAGTCAAGAGCACAGCCCGTTGGAAAAGCTTCCTCACCTTGAAGCCAGATTGACCACACCTATCACACAGGCCAACAGGATCCCTTTGAGCAACCAGGACTCTGAGTTCATATCAACTATGGCGCCCACACTTCCAAACATGGCAGTGCAGAGCAAAAACTGCAGAAAGACCTGGTAAAAGCAAACAGGATGGTGTTACAGGTTTGGTCAATGTTCCAGAGATTACAGGAGATGTTTGTTTTATGTGTAGGGATGACACTGTTACTGGTTTAATGATATTTTAATTAAAACTGTGTTTCATTACAGCTTTAAAAAATACTGTCTAGCATCAACCAAAGTTAGCACTAGTCTCCTAGACACGAGTTTGTTATGAGTTGTAAACTGAAGCTCTCAGTGTTACCTACTCTTTACCTTACCTACTCTGCAGAATTCCCCTCAGGGATCAATAAAGTATTTCTGATTCTTGTAAAAACACTACACGTTTTTCTGCTGCTGCATGCATCGTGCGTCTGCAGACTCTATTCGCCCACTGCACATGACAACACAGTACGTAGTTTAGTCACCCAACCAACATATTTTGTAAATTTAAAATCTGGCAGTCGTCGAATTGGTTGTAAAAGTCTTCCAAAAGGAGAAACACTGCAGACTCCTCTGTATTTATGTCAATTGCTGGGCTCATTGCAGTTACAATCACTGTCTTCTTAAGGCTCACCTGTATTTATGTAAATTGTGCATGGGGTCACTGCATATACGTTATAACTTTACAACAGCTTTAATGTTAATGCACATTTCATAAGTTATCATAGTTTTCATATGTTCACATAATGTATTGGCTGTTATTATTTTAATGTTTATGCAAACAAAAAGTGCACAGTGCTGCTAATTTTATTTGGTGAAAAGGTTTCAGTGTGCGTATCAGCATTTTATGAAAAATTTTTGCACATTTTAACAATCCAGCGACAATACCGTGATAATTTTGGTCACTATAATTGTAATATGAAATGTTCATACCGTTTCATCTCTATTTATGTGTGATCAGAAGTTTGTTATTTAAGGTAAGGCAAGTTTATTTGTTTAGCACATTTCAACAACAAGGTAATTCACTGTGCTTTACATAAAACATAAAAGCAACAGGGAGATATAAAAAAGCTTTAAAAGTTAAATAGAAAATAAAAACAGGCAGGTCCCACCCCCTTTTTTTTATTTTACACTTACCCTAAGGTTACTCTAAAGCCCCTTTCCTACTGCATGGTACCAGCTCCACTCGCCTCGCCTTTGTTTGGTTTTCCACTGTGGAAAAGTTGTAGCAGTACCTGCTTCCAGGTACTTTTTTTCCACCTCCGTCGAGGTTCCAAGCGAGCTGAGGCGATACTAAAATGTGACGTGAAAACACGGCAGACTACTGATTGGTCAGAGAGAATCGTCACTATTCACTGCATCATCATTGCACGCGCCAGACAGAGGCCAGCAACAGAAAGTTTTAGATTTTACAGTTTTCGTATGGAATTTCATCACTAAATCCACTTCTGAGAAGTTTTGAGGCGAGAAATCAGAAACGCTTTAACTTAAATAAAGAGACAGCTCTATGTGGATCGCTGGTGTGTGTCGCATTGAACCTTACGTCGCGGCAGTTGTGTGTGGCGTCGCTATGACGACCAGCTACAATGAGGGGTTCTATCTCTGGGTACTATCTGCAATGGAAAACGGAGCAGGGCCAAACTGAGGCGAGGCGAGTTCAGCTGGTACTGGCAACGGAAAAGCGCCATAACCCTTCTTTAGATACAGTCGTCACTGTAAATCCAGATTGTCCACGCTAAAAACTCTGGTAAAAGCGGTTGAAAGTGGGACCCTGTCAACAAGTTACTTAGGGACTCTAACCCTAAGTGTTAAAGGGTCAGAGTTAAGTTGGTATGTGTGTGGTCATCAGTATCTGTATACCCTGTATCTGTTGACGATCCGTGTGCAGCGTGAGTTGGAGCGAATCCTCTCCTGTTTGATGTGGTTGAGCATGTGGATGAGCAGCGGGCTGTGCACCTGGTGGGCCAAGTCGATAGGTGTGTGACCCTGAAGAAGAAGCATTAAAAAGACCACAAAGACATGCATTATTATTGATTGATTAATTAAAAATGCAAAGGTACTAAGTGTTTGTGTGCGTCCAAACACACTGTTCACACTGCCAGTGACTGAACTGATGGCGTCGTTCTTTTATATTATCACAGATTTCACCTGTGTGAAGGTGTCCACCTACACCCATAAAAGCTAATTGTGTATTTAAATGCTGCAGTAATATCAGCTCAATGCCATTTATCTACTAACTGTATATTAATGATCCCCTCCAGACATGTTATAAACCATAAAAATAAAAATCTTTAAGTTACATCTCTTATTGAAACATCTAGAATTTAAGAATATGTCAATCTTTTTTATTTACTACTGGACACAAAATGTCACCTAATTCACCACAAACACCATTTGTAGTGTATGTGCACAGGGGGTGGAGTTTCAAGCTTCCACATCTCACTCATTTAAGTTTCAGTCTTAACCACGACTAGTTGTGATAACAGATCTCAGAGGTGAGCACAGAGAAAAACTGTAAAATAAAACCGATGATTTTGAGATACTGATTCCAGTAAGCATTTCAAATACAAGTCGAAAACTAAGAATCCTTTCTTCAGTATTTGACAGCAGACGGACACATACAATATAAGACTTTTGTTTATGCACTATGAGTTTTGTGAAGCTCACGTTGATGTTTTCTGCGTCCACACTGGCTCCAGCCTCCAGCAGGATGTGGGCAGCGTCTACGTTTCCTGCAAGCACAGCGCAGTGCAGCGGTGTGTTCCTGTTCACTTTGTCCACAGCACTCACAGAAGCGTTATTTTTGATTAGGAAGTTTGTTGGTTCTGGCCTAGGACAGACGAACAACATGCTGTTTAGATACAAATGTCAAGAGGTCATGGATTTACTTATTAATTAGTTTGTATTTATTTACTTAACCCAATCTAAAGACCAAAAGTCTCCGCTTACAAGGATCAAAATGTCATTCTCTGAAATGTTCAAAAGTTGTGGTCTGTCTATTATTTTTTTTTAGATCTGAAGTAAGCATTTCTTATAATTTTTAAGTTTGTTTTTAATAAATACACAAAACGAAAAAGAAAAGAAAGCTGTGATGTTGCCAGCTTTTTTTCCCCATGTTTTTTCTAATTTTAATAGGTTTTTCTTATTGTATTATTATTATAACAATAAAGGCATTTTTTTTATAAAGGCAAAGAGGAAATCAAAAGATGCGTCCCAAGAAAACACTGCGTTCTCTAATTATATACCGCTGTTTATTAATACACTGTGATTTCATCTACAACATGTGGGCCGACAATATGTGCAGGATACTTTCAGATTAAGACCTACTGCAAATAGAAAAATCATCACAGACCATGACTCCCATTCACAAGTTTAAAAGAATAGTAAGAATAATAGCAATAATCAATAATATTTAGGTATTTACATGAAACCAGTCGGGTTTAAAGCATATCTGTAAAGGAGTAGGGGGCTCACCCAATAATCTTCTGGGCTGCTAACATCAGAGGTGTCTGTCCGTTGCAGTCAGGCCCATCAACTTCCTGGAAGCAAAGAAGCAAATTAGAGGATTACCATCCAGGAAAAGAAAAGAGAGCACCAAGTCAAATACACCTCTGCAAATGCAATAAGAAAGACTGTTGAAAGTAATAAAAGGTGTTAGAGAGAGAAAGTGTAAACTATCGAGTGTGTGTGGAGTCTGACCTGTCCCTTAGCCATAAGATAAGCTGCGATGGCCATGTGCTGGAAGAGGATGGCAAGGTGGAGAGCGCGGTAACCTTCGCTGTCTGCGATGGAGGGATCTGCTCCGTATCTCATCAGCTGGATCACCATGGAGAGGTGGCCCTGCCTCATTATTGACAAAAACCACAAACAGCTTTATGGAGGAACACCAAAATAACTAAGTTTCAAATCCAGTCAACATATCAACAGCACTTCGGCCAATCAAAATGCATGATTCATATTGTGTTTCATTTTAATTGGTACAGCTGTGATACAGTTATGTATTCTTTTTTTTACTACGCAGTATTAAAGAAATTAACCTCCCCATGTTCTGCTGAAATGTGACCTGTGCTGTGTTAAAAACAAATAGAAATGCAAAAGTAAAGCAAAGCATCAGAGGCAAAACTGGTTGTTTGGGTATTACAACCAGTTTTGAATAAAGAACCTAATTAAAATATATATACGGATGGGAATCCATTAGAGATAGCCTTTTTGAATCTGAGCTGAAGCAAAGTTTGGATCTGTGTTTCTGTTTACATCACTGGTTTCTGTTTACATCACTGGTCACACCTGGGTCAAGGAACATGTGTAGTGTTTACTATACAGTCGATTGATACTTACTTGTCTTTAATTTACCTTTTAACAATGAGAAAATAAAAAAATAATAAATATATCTATTGTTTATGACTTGTGTTTTAAAAGCAGCCTAAAGCTGCTGAAAATAAATGTGAACATTGTTTTTATTATTTTTTAACATTTATTTTGACAGATAAATTACATATAAACAACGGAACCTGGATTTAATCAAATCTGGAATAGAAAAGCAAACCAAACCCCACCAATAAATCGCATTATGGTTATTCAGTCACCTTATAGCCCAGTGAAGAGGAGTAGAGTTCAGGTCTCCTCCAAGCTGGTCAACTATTGCCCCTTTAGAAATATAATACCTGTCAGGAAACAGCAGGGAAGTTACAGAGTGCAAAAATCAGAATATCAGGAAATCAGAATCTTTTGTATGGAATAAATAATAAATAAATGTCCCTGGGGTAGGACTGACTTTACTGAAGCTGTTTGTTTTTTAATAAGATATTCAGCTGAGAACAGCAACACTAAACCATTTGCACTTACTTTAGTTTGAGACAGAAGTAATTCTAATTTAAATGTGTCCTATTTATGTTAACTTACACGAGAAAACTCCCAATATGATACTAAATTATTCATTTCAATACATTTTTAATATAATGACCATGTATGTCTCAATAAATTGCATCTCATTTACCTTTTTACAGTACTGTGTTTTGTCTAATTTCACTTAAAGTAAGCAATCAAAATCCAAGAATTACTGAGACATCATGGGTCTCCATGCGGAGGAGATACATACACCTCCTGGATTTACACCAAAAATAAATCAAAGCTCACATTAAAAAAAAATATTTCAGCCTCAATTTCTCTCTTCTATAAGCCCAGAAAACTGACATCCTGTTTGACACACCACTCAGCAGACAGCCTCTGTGTTTGGTGAAATATGGTGAGAAGCCTGCAGTGGAGTGTTTGTATGTTTACATAACAGGTTCCTCGTGTTCTCTGGTAAGTCAGTTGTGGTGAAATAGAAATCTTCACGTCTTACTTGACCAGCTCTAAGCGGTTGTTGATGGCCGCCCAGTGCAGCAGAGTAACATTCTCTTTGTCCGGCTGCCTGACATCATATCCAGCGTCCACCAGCTCCTTACAGCGCTCAAGGATACCGAACCTGAGAGGGTCACACAGAGAAAAACACTTTACAAGAGCACCAATAATAATGACAACCAGACTAATGATTTAATTTGTGCAGTTGTCCTAAATGATAATAAAACCCCGGATAAAATGAACAAAACACCTGTTAAGCAGGGATGAAGTAACAAGAAATGTTCAACTAAAAGCCATATAAGCCATATGTGTTAAAGTAGAAAATCAAGTTCGCTTAATCATAGCTGAATGAACTATGAACTGTGTGAAAAGAATTTGCAGCATGTGTACACACACGGTGAGATGACAGATAGGAGCGGCTCTGAAAAGTGACCCTCCCTCTGCTGCACCTTAACTCACTGATCCGTTATCAAAAGCAGCTAGCACTCCAGTTACCTGCAAGTACAATGTGGTTTACTAATCTCAACTAAAGCACCCTTACATGTTTGTACAGCCTTTACTTCAACCGTTTTATTTCTAAATTGCTTTCTAACAAGACAAAAAAAGAACCTTCTAACTGCAAACACGGAGCTATGAAAGCCTTTGTGTATTCTTTGAGTTTTGTTGTGAAACTCTTGTGCAATTTTATTCATCTTAAACTTATGTTTAGAGTAACATTAAAACGTGTTTTGGCCATTTAATTTAATTTAAGGCCAAATAAAATAATTTGATCCTTAATACTGAAAAGAAAATATTTTTTTTACGAAGAAGGTTTTACAGGATTGTATCATATTTCATGATATCAGAAAATGGGATTTCTGTATTGTTTTCAACTTTAACAGCAAGTTTCTAGTTTATTACTATTTGGGCTTTATTTCTGTAGTTTGGACCAAACTTTCCATCAGTGATAATAACTCTCGGTAACTCACCAAGTTATGGGTACAAGGTAACATCTCTAAAAGAAGTGAGAAAAGTCCAAAGGGGCAAGAAACACAAGCACCAGGTGATCAAACTTATTAACTTAAGGCCTAGTTCACACTACACAATTTTAAGCCCGATTTGCCGGTCCGCAACCTCGGCGATCATCAGGCTGTGATCAGGGGTAAATCAGTGATCGATCAGCGGTCGCCAATCAACAGTCTTTATGTGTGAACTACCCAAGGACGCGTCAAAACGGCTCCCCGACTCTTTTCTGACACATCGCCGACGCCTGCCAGATATCTAGCACGTCAAATATCTGGAAGAGTCGGCCGACTCGACATCCACATCCAGCCAATGAGAGCAGGCAGCTACTTTTTCACCGCAAAACACTTTTTACTCCCCTCCAGCTCCCTCTGTAGCTCAGACGATCCCAGCTACCTGCGTGTGCTGATCCATTCTTTGTCTTTATAATAGCTAACTTTATAATAACAAACAACAGCTGTTTCGTGTGCAGGTTCATGTCATTTCCCGTTTAACATTTCACGTGTGTTTTCTTCACAAAATGTGGTTTGGAGACCAGCGTCTGGTGACACAGCCGCTGTGAGCTTGTGTGGTGTGTGACCCCCTGTCACCGATCAGTCACGTAGTGTCCAGTACAGTACAGAGTGCTGAAAGTCATGTAGTCTGCCTCAACGAGCCTCAACTGATTCTACATTACATATTGTGCCTGCCATGGTTGTGTTTTACTTTTTGGTACTATAATAATAAAATCAATTGCTTTTTCAGTTCACAATAGAAAGAGTTTTCAATTGGAGACACAATTTGAAGTTGGAAAAAAGGTAATAAATTGCAATATATCGCAATATGTTTAAATTGTAATAATATCGTATCGTGACATAAGTATTGTGATAATATCGTATCGTGGGGCCTCTGTTGATTCCCACCCCTAATACACAGGAAACGTTGCTCATCAGTGGACTAACTATTCCCAAGATGAGAACATAGCCTTCTCTGACAATTGTGGCATCGCATGACATGAAAGTACACATTCAAATGTCCAGTTGACAGAGAACTAATATTCCACCACTTACTGCGATGCCTTCACTATGTCCCAACTGCTGCTGTCATCCATGTGCGAACGTTTCTTCGGCTGCTGACTGAGGTTCACCTGATCGGCGTTTTTGCCGAACTGTCCGTGAAAAGCTGCCATGAAGGGGTGCGCCGCTCTCGGCCCGTGGCTGTGGGAATGACCTGGATGTTCGTGGTGACAGCTGTGACCCTGCAACACATACACACATTGAAACCTCACATTGGCAGAGAACAGTAGTTTTACATGTTTACACTTTTTATACACTTCTGGCTGTGTCTCATCTCTTCTATGTGACAGCGTGTCGGCTCACGCAAGTTAATTTGACCTTTGGTGTGCAAATTAAAAGCACCTCTCCCTTTCCTCTTTTTGCTCTCACATAACTAAATTAGAAAACTGTCTCTGGAGGAAGGAGGAAATAGAAGACAGCCAGCTGTAAAAAGGGATGAATTTTTATCTGAGGAAGTAAACACCAGATAGGGGTTGCATGTCATCCACTTCTCTCCCCCCTCATTTCCTGACGGCTCTCTACTGTCTCCCAACTAAAACCCCCCCCTAAATACTTAAAATACACAAATTCCAGATGGATGGTTATTTGAGACATTAAACTATCAACACTGAGTTAAAAAAAAATACTTCCAGAAAAAAAATTAATGATTACCTAAATTAAAACAACATTGAGTCAGTGTCTGCAGTTTAGTCTTGTGTTTTTCTTTTTTCCAAAAAGTGTGTATATAAGTATATGGGTGTGTGTGTACAGCATTATCAAAATGTTCTGCAGCAAAACAACTGCAGTGTTCAAAAGTCCTGTGGTCACCCAAGTGCTCTCAGGTGGAAGATTGCACTTTCTATTTGTAAGGTGTCACTTGTGTAAAATAGGTTCATTTGAACGAATACATTTTATACTACAGCAAACAGCTACAAAACATTTACTCCCCATGAGCTGTAGGGTTCGGCAATATGACAATACACACTTTATTCCCTGTATTGTGTTAGACCATTGCAGGCAATGTTACAAATTAGTGAGCAGGGGTGTTTTTTGGCAATACTGGAATTTAATATGACTTTTGCATCAATGTGATGAAGTACCTTGACTTGGTCATTTATTTCATTGTCTGGATTTGGCGAAAGACGATGTTTTTTGTCTGGTTATTGTATGAATAAACTGTTTCTCAACAAATTTCAAAAAAATGTACTCGATCATAATATACATCAGAATTTGGGCTGCACAATTAATTGAAATATTATTGAAACTGCAATATAATCTCCAAATCGTTTGACCCAAATGCAGCTGTCAGATTTGTTAATCACAGTTTACATAACCACTCAGCCCTCTTTCCACCGACTTAAACTGTGTGTACGCGTGTGCCTGAAACCCCTTTAAATAGCACCTGTCAAAAAATAAAGAAAAAATGAATAAAGGAAATTTAAAACTTAAAAAAAAATAAATAACAATCTGTGACAAAACAGCACTATAATGAAGTACTGTAGCGCTGCAGAGATGTTCCAGGTTTTAAATGTTATTTTCAAGATGTAAGAAAACATATTTGTTTGGTCCCCAAGACCCCAACAAATGTCACATCATGATGATTTGAATAGTTTTTTTTTTTTTTAAATGAAACTGAATGATGTGATGCAAAAATTATCATTCCCACTTATCGTGTATCATGTTGCAAATCGTAATATACATATTAAAATAATCCCAATATGATTGTTTTAGCATATGTGTGCAGCCCTTACCACATGCAGTGCTGACACAATTAGTCAACTGATAAAACTGTAAACTATTTGGACTATTAAGTGGTTAATCAAGCAAAAAGTGCCCTATAATCAGTTTTACATCTCTGTAAATTGAATGCTTATCTCCACGGGCTTTGGAATAATGTGATGGGACATTTTATAGACTAAACAAATATTCGATTAATATAAGAAAAGACAGAATAAATAATCATTAGCTGCAGTCCTAAGAACATTAAATACACTGTGACTGTGAGTATTTTATCCATTTTGCCCACTCCTAACGCCCTGACAGCGATGAACATTTGATTGTGTAAAATATGTATTTTTGATTCTAAAAGATAAAAACCCAACATGACAGGCTGCTGCCATGATCTCGGCCAGATGGCTAACATATGGCAAAAGATATAATGCTGTAATGGCTATAAACACATGTGGATCTGGATGCTGCTCCGATTTACTATACAAAAACAGCTGGACAGGATTAACGTTGACGTTACAGGATTAACAGTTTCTTATTGTTAATATGCGAAGATAAGAAAGGTATCTGACGTTAACGTTACGCAATGAACTGGTTAAACTCGCGTTGACTGTCAATGCATGATCATGTCACCCAGACTAATCAAGCTGACTCTCCGTAATGCGGACAACAATGCCGTTACACGAAGAAAATGAGCTACATGTGAGCGCCGAGGTGGAGCAGATATTGGTAAACATTAACGCTAGCTAGTCTCTGCCGCCAGGTAACTAGCAGCAGGCTAACTACGCCCACTGAAGCTAACAGACCGATTGACAGTTGATTTCGTCTGTGTCGAAGTGAGAGCAGGTTATTCCGCGTTTAACGTTACAGCGACACACCGACACGCTAAAATCAAACCGCTAGCTAGCTCCTTAATGCTAACAACATGCTAAACATAATATCAGGACAAACTACGTGAGCCAAGTCATCCGCCAGATGAAGCGGTAACCTGCACGACAAAGGCAACCAAACGCAGCGACTGACACAAACCGACTTACATTATCGTCCTCGCCCCAGTCCATCTTGATGTGAAGGAACGAAGGGAAAGTTCCTGCTTCTGGACAGGCCGGTTTGAACACACCACTTCCGCTCTGTGTTTTTCAAAATAAAAGCAGCCAAGATAGGCTTCTTCTTGTTCTTGTTCTTCTTCCTGTTCTTCTTGTTCTTGTTGTTGTTGTTCTACTTGTTGTTGTTGTTCTTCTTCTTCTTCTTCCTGTTCTTCTTGTTCTTGTTGTTCTTGTTGTTCTTCTTGTTGTTGTTCTTCATGTTCTTCTTGTTCTTCTTCTTGTTCTTCTTGTTCTTCCTGTTCTTCTTGTTCTTGTTGTTGTTCTTGTTGTTCTTGTTCTTCTTCTTCTTCTTGTTCTACTTCTTGTTCTTGTTCTTGTTGTTCTTGTTGTTCTTCTTCTTGTTCTTGTTGTTGTTCTTGTTGTTCTTCTTCTTGTTCTTCTTCTTCTTCTTCTTGTTCAACTTCTTGTTTTTGTTCTTGTTGTTCTTGTTGTTCTTGTTGTTCTTGTTGTTGTTCTTGTTGTTGTTCTTGTTGTTCTTCTTCTTGTTTCTTGTTCTTCTTATTCTTATTCTTCTTGTTCAACTTCTTGTTTTTGTTGTTCTTGTTGTTCTTCTTGTTGTTCTTCTTGTTCTTCTTCTTGTTCTTCTTCTTGTTCTTCTACTTCCTGTTCTTGTTCTTGTTCTTCTTTGTGGTTTTATGGCGGTTGGCGTCTAAAAATCTTGCATTACGACACCTACTGGAGAAAACAGTTTTCCCACTGCTTTTGTTTTTACGGTGACCACCAAAAATATTCTCATTCAAAACATTGTTAACTTTGCCACAGTTACATGGTGAAACTGTAGGAAGGCAAAATCATAGATTATTTAGAAGCAAATTAAAAACCATCTGACGAACAGCTGATTTCTGACTCCTGGTGTCAGTAACTCTGAACTCTAATCAGCCACCTGTTTACTGGTTACTACTTGTCACACTATTTATTTGTTATTGTGTAATTCAGCGCTGCTCATATTGTTCCTATGATATATACTGTATATATAATTTCCACCTACTAATCCCCATCCGCTTCCACAAAATGGTTGCTAGTCTTCCTGGGGTCCACACAAAAACATTAAAGCAAAAAATCAAACAGTATCAATGAAACAAGAACAGGATGAACGAGTCTTGAAACTAGATAGGGTAATAAAGAAGGACACTCCTTAAGGTCTTTTTCATGTCATTTGATACTGTGATTCAGTGCTGGTGGGAATCCAGCATTTGAATGCAAGGTTGTCAAATGTTTATTTAGCAAAACAAACATAATGGAAGATAGAAGACATCCTTCTGAGATTCCTTGTAAATAATTTGTGTTTGTGTCATTATGTGTGATTTTTGCTATTTGAGTTTGTGTGAAAAAGTTCAGAAATCTTGTCAAAAGCCTTCCCAGGAGAGTGGATGCTGGTATAGTATGAGATATAGTATGCTGTTTTTGTCATACAAAATAATACACTGTTGACATTTTATTATGAATGTAAGCATGTTAAACGGGAAATCTTGTTTCTGGTCATTTTAATTTTCTTGATGCTTCAATCCTTTCTTCTTCCTGGAAATGCAACAGTGGTTTTCATTGGGCTGTTGTTTTACTCCCACCTACAGGGCTAAACTGCTGCTGCCTTAGATATTTTAAAGCGTCTATGTCCCAATGGAAAACACACAACTTTGATTTAGTTGGAAGAAACAACATGCATATTCACTAAAAAAAACATATTTGATTTTAAACTGTGTCCAAGCAAACCAGTGTGTGAATTATGACTTTTTCAAAATACATTTTCACTGGGGAAATATGTTTTGGTATCATAAGTGAACATCTCTTGCAGTTTCTGTTTCATCATAGAACAACAATCCCATTCATGTTTGTATGCTTGTAGAAGATGTCATCTCTTACTTTCAGCCACTGATAGCTCAGTTTTGCTATTATAGGTCAATATTCCATGTTTTTGCTGCATGAAACAGACTTAAAGGCCCATTTATACTCCTCCTCCTTACTGTGCAGCTGAGATCCGTACTCTACTGGACTCAAGAGATTGTTAAGAGGCAATAAATTACTGATGTTACTTAATAAGCAGACATTTAATCCAAACCTCACACAAGTTTTTGGAGCATAGTGACCGGAGCCTGAAACACCAAGATGGACGGAAACATGAAACCAAAATTTAGTTTCAGTATCCAGAGTTGAAAACAGGGAAAACCTTGACTGTACTTTATATTTAAATCATAATCCTTGTCTAATGTTTGACATAGATGTCAAGGTGGAATTATATGGAAATACATTAAAAAGTAAATAATAAAATACCCCCGAATGAAGTTGAAGGCAACTAAAAAGCCTTAAAAAAGTCATGAAGACTGACAAAAAAGTTGAAAAACAGCTAAAGAAACCAAAACTTTGACTGGAATGAACTGAAATGCATGGTGATAAATATTCACAGTTGGTTTAAAGCTACATGGTCAGCAAACAAACCATCTGTGGTGCAGGCACTTTAAAATGGAAAACACCTAATATTTATAGACAGAAACCTTTTAGTCATTTAGTGCGACAGTGTCAGCCTCTTCAGAGCAACTCTGCAGAGCCCACTTCTTGATGAATAAAATGCATGTTGCGTGGACAAGAGTCATTTAAACCCTCATATCATTACTTAAAATAGTAGTCAATATCCTGAAGTTAACAAAAATAAGAATTCTGGGGAAAATTCATATAGAACGACATATCTGTAATCATTTTCATTCGATGTAGGGGTGCAGTAATAAATATTGTTATAATAATATAAATGTTTTTAAAATTTTACTCAATAATAATCATGTAGCTTCAATTAAATGTTGCCACATATGGTGAAATAGGTCAAAAGGAAAGCAAAGCATTTAGTAAATAATCAAAGATTTGTTCTGTAATGTAAGTATGTTTGAGGGAATTGTGAGTAACATCTCTTTTCTCTGCTTCCACATGGTGAAATCACAGCATGTGTCACAAGGATGAAATCAGCTACTGATTCATGAGAGAAGGCTTTTATCTAAGTGTCATGCAGCTAAATATGAACCGAAGTATCATGCAGGGACTGTGATCTGTTGGCAAACACTGACATGGAAACATGTCAAGAAGAGACGCCTCAGCATCCTATCTGCTTTACTGAACACAGTGGAACTGTATATCCTGTAACATTTGATTTCCGTCTTGTTATGCTCAAATTTTGACTCAGAAATAGTCGGATTGGTAAGCTTTGTTTCTTAAATTTGAGCTTCTTTTTAAATAGGTCATGTAGCCTTAAAAGGCTTTCAGAAACCCCTAGTGACCTGTGTTTATTTATAAATATGCTCTTTCTGCCTCTTCATTTATATTGTAAGATCAGGTGGAATCTGACTTCACATGGCAAGTGAGTAGACAGACCTGCAGTCAAAATCAAATCATCAAATTTTGTATTTTTATCAAGGAAGTTAACAAAATTTTTTCATAATAAAACCAACTGCAAATATTGTAACATCTATGAAGAATGAATATACTAAATGCCACTTTTCAAACCAAATACTCTGTTTTGTGAGGCACAGATAAATGGTGCAGCTTCATTGTTTTATTTCATTATAAATTTCACACTATATACAAAATATATATATGATTTTATTCTGAAAAGACAAACTCCAAATATATCCCACATCTGTGTGAAAGTGTGTTCTTCGCAATTTATCTGACCACTACGAAGTGGAAATAAAGCAAAGAACTTTGGCCCCAGTTGCTCTTCCAGGTGAGTAGCAGTAGATGGCGCCATCATTCAATACATGACCAGAAGGACTGCTGTCTGCCAGGCTGCAGATAAATTCATCTGTTGTGTTGTGTCTCCATGATCATGCACAACTTAATTAAGTTGTTATTCTGTGGTTTAACAAAAAAACCAATGTCTTCACACTTGCATAAGATAGATAATTCTCCACAGTGAACATCAAATCTGCTTTAATTGTTGTCAAAGATATGTTCTTGTTGCACTGCTGATGCAGACTAATTAGAAAAGTGACACTGCACTGTATCACCACACACTTAAGTCTTTAAAACCTAATTTTCATACCAGACGTGGCTGAAACAAAACACGTGCCTCAAATGAAAAAAAAACAAAACATTGAAATATACTTTTTGCTGTAAAAGATGTTGTCTGTAGTAAACCATGCCAATGTGTCACTGTGTGCTGCTTTCTTTGCCAAGGCGGCATACTTCACTTAAAATAAATAAATACTTAATTAAGATGCAAGCTGTCATGTAGTGTGCTTTCTTAGTGTAATTATCCATTTGGGTATTATCAGCTATCTTGGTGGATGATCCTTCCCTCAGTTGGCTTGTCAAAGGTTTGCTATCGGATGGTTCTCTGAACACGATCACCCTCTTTTTCAGGAACACCTCATACACTCCTACACCTGGAAGCTCACAAGTACATAAACATTCTGATCATCTGGCCACTGAGCATCTCCACTGGAGCAGTTGTGGGTTAAGAGCGTTGCTGGAGGAAACCTCAGCAGTGATAACCACGGTAGGAGTTCTGCTCTTTCACTCCCCCCACCCAGATTTATCCTGCTGGTGAAGGAATCAACCTGGCAACCTTTGGTTCACAAGTTGAAATGTTGAAAATTTACATCCTAAGATTTCCATGCATCTTACTGTGGGTGTATTGATAAAGCACATGTACAAAAAATAAAAACGAACATGCATTTGTAATGTGCATGACCTCGATAAGATTTTCTTCTTTTCCCGTGCTCATTGTAGCTTGATAACTTCCATCTCAGCTTTTTTTAAAATTGGCTGCTTGTCACATTTTTAAGTTTTTGTTTGTTTTTTCCTTTTTATAAAGTATACTGAGACTTGCACTTGTTGTAGGCCATGATTTGTAATTACAGGATGCCAAAAAATAAACATCATTCATCTGTCAATTGCTGGTTTCATTGTTTTTTTGTTTCATTTCTGTTTAATTTTAATGGGATAAAAGTCATTGTCTGACACTTGCAAAACATATTCCTGTTGATCTGTGCCACTGTGATTATATATATATATATATATTTTTGTTTTTAAAAATTTGAGTGGTTTAATTTATACATGTTGCTTAGATACAATAGACTAACATGGGTGCATGTGCCAAA